ACACCTGTGAGTGTTATTCCTGCCTCTTAATCGCCAATTCATGTTCATGGACCCTGGTTTTTAGCCTCTTAGGGGTTTCTCCAACATAGTTGCAGGGGCAGTTCTTACACCTGATCTTATATATCAGAGGATCTTTCCCCAACCGGGAGTGGGTCTTTGGGGTGCATGACTCTGGCACATAAAGTCTGGTCTTGTCTGTGGGCCACTTTTATATTGAAGGGAGCTAACAATCTGGCCGTTGCTTCCGATACGCCATTGATATATGGTAGGGTGGTTTGTGTGGATTGTGTGGGTGTCATGTTGGTTTGGCGCAGCCCATATGGTCTGCTATGCTGTCTAATGAACTCCACCGGGTAGCCATTACGTCTGCACACGTGGTAGAGGTAACTCCTCTCTTCCGCTTTAATTCTGTCCGTACTACAATGCAAACCAACCCGATTGAACAGAGTCTTAATGCAACTGATCTTGTGTGCCTTTGGGTGATTGCTTCTGTAATGTAGCATCCTGTCCGTATGGGTTGGTTTGCGGTAGACAGCTGTGTGCAGGGATCCATTGGGTTGGCGCTTGATCAGCACATCTCGGAAGGCAAGAGCGCTTTGGTTTTCCTCCTCTGCCGTAAACCAGATATCAGGGTAAACAGAATTCAATTCGTCCATAAATCTGGCTTTATCTTGTTTTTTAATCACCACAAAGGTATCATCAACCAAAAATTGGGGCGGTACCTCGCCATCACCACCGTTTCTAGTTGTTGCAGGACCGCCTCCGCAATGACACTCGAAATGGGAGACCCCATTGGTGTCCCTTTAATCTGTTCGTACATGACCCCTTGAAAGAAAAGTATGTTTTAAGGCACAAAGTTATCATTTGTACTAAATCCTCGGTGTGAAGAGAGTCCTGTGACTGTCTTCGTCTCTCTTGGAGGTGGTTGCTTAGTACTGTGACCGCCAGGTCTTGTGGGATGGAGGTGAAGAGTGAAGTGACATCATACGACACCATTACCTCGTCATCCTCCACTTTCAGGGATCTGATCTTTTTCAGGAACTCCTCTGCCGACTTTACCGTGGTATTGTTGTCATCCACCAAATAGCTGATTCGGCCACTTAGCCATTTGGCCAATCCCGAGGTTGGTGTGCCTTTAAACGACACAATGGGGCGTAAAGGCACCCCTTCTTTATGGACTTTTAACAGCTGTGTTATTAACTTAACCACTGCAGTGATTCCTTTAACTGGCAAGAAAGATTGTAAAATGGGGCAAAACAAATGTCTCACTTAACAACAGAAATTTTGGGTTCAATTGTGATCATAAATTGAGGATTACCTGTGTGTGTGCGCGCATGCGCACATGCACGCATATTCTTATGGACATTGCTTTTAAAGATAATATGTATTTATAATTGAAGATTTAATTTGAATATTAAAAATGAAACAAATCAAGCTAAAATTTCATGTCTTTTTTTAAACTGTTGTCACATAAACCACATAAGCAAAACCCCATTCTCTTTACATTTTTGAAAAAAAAAGGACTTTCAATTATATGAAAAAGTCATGATTTTTGTTTCTGATGAAGACAATGCATCTGGAAACATTTGAAAAATGAGTATTTCAAAAGACATTATAGGGGATTTGGTTGGCTAGCTAATAAATGCAGTTAAACACACAGGCACAAATATAATGTAGATAGGTTTAATGCATTGAATATTGCTAAATATTAGTTAATATACATTATAATAAAAATGACCATTCTTTATTGGCTAAAAACTGAACTTGACTGGACAATCGTGTATCTCTTATTCGATTCCACAAGAATCTTTGGGCTACTTCAACATTTAATTTGTTTTGGCTTATTCAATCTTCCTTAGTCTAGAGATTATGACTATTTTTGCAGGGAGGGGTGAAATTTAGCAAATACAATCTTTTCTATTACCTTCATAGTTGTTGGGAAAAGAATTGTACTATCCCACTTAAGAGGCATTTGGAAAAGACAGACTCATAGCATGGCAGAGGAGGAACAGCACATTGAACCTAGCATTCTGATAGCGGTTATCCCCTAAAAACCCGGGGGACAAGTTTTAATGCTATATAAACAAGGGAAGGGAATACATTTTAAAATCCTGCTCTGGTTCTCATAACACATACTGAAGCATTTTTCTAAAATGAATTAGGCACTAGCAGAAAAAAATGCACAAATGGTGCTCACTGTATTGATATAATTAAAGTAATGTCCAATTAGAGGTATCAAATTGTCTAGGATTATTTTGATGCAACTGTAGTCTTCCATTCCCCAAACTGTCTCCATAGCTACCCACAGCTGCATCTTAAGGAAATATGAGCCAGTGAGTTCTCCTTCATCACTTCAACTTGGCACACTGCCATCTGCTAATGGATACATTATTAGACTAGATAGTCTAATAGTATAATACTGCTACAGGTTTTGCGTAATAACAATTATCTCTGGATTTCTTGAGTAGCATTTATTTCTAAAAGGGTTATAAGCTGTGCTGTTCCATAACCATCTCTGCACACTATTTATGGACATCATACTTGCCACTTGGGAACTGCAGTGTACCGTAGTTATAATCATAAGATTCCAAACTGGCCTAAATTTAATCATGCCACAAAAAGTTTTTTGCACTGATCTAATATTGCAAAATAAATTTGCTATGGTAGAATTTAAAGCAAAATATTTAGGAACAGCCAATGATAGAAAGGTACAAAAGCAAGGGAGTCATATTCTGGAAAAAGTAATAGCTTGTAGGTTATCTATGAACATTGTAACTAATTAGAAATTGTCCATGTTTAATCAGCTACAGAACTCTTAATGTTGCATTTCATTTTGTGCTGATTAAGCTATTTCAAGTAATAGGGAATATCTGTCCCATCAAGAAAGACTTCTCATTTTTTTTCTTAAAAAGTCTTTTCTATGTTAGTTATTATATACCAGGAAGATCATTGATACATTATCGTGAATATGAAAAGCAAATAGGACAAAATACAATCTTCAGAAGATTATTTTCAATTGTTTGATTCTCTCTGCACAAAAATAAATAAATAAACATAAAGAAGTAATATGTTGGTTCTAGGTTGAGAATGTTTTTGTTTTGGAAGAATTCATTTCAAAGATCACAAGCTATACAGTAGTATATTCTGTAGAAGGCTACTCCCATAACAGTTATCTCCCTGATGAACAAGAACAGGAGTCCATAGCACACAGCCAAGAACATATCTCTAACCTAAACTCACAATTAAACAACACTAAAAAAATGACGATAAAGAATGAACTAATAAATCAGGCAACAGAATACAAATCAGAGGAAATGACTTAAATATGGAAGCTACAAATGAAGAGAACTACCACTTAATCCAAACAAAAGAAAATCTGCAAAATTTTGCTACAACAAAAGAAATAAAAAAGATGTTTTATCTTCCAGGACTTCAAAACAAACTTGAGGACAAAAAAGAAGATTTAATAAAAAGGATTAAAGAGCTGTCAGGAGAATCATTAAAGCGTGGGAGACAAAAAATGAATATTCTACTTGATTTGTCTTTTTTATCCCCAACAATATCTACAAAAATATAACTTGGCAAGCTAAACCTATTGATTTGGAAAGTGATCTGGCAAAAGAAGAAGATTAGAATTAGATTTAAGAGATGTGATTCAACTTACCAGATGGAATACTATATGACTAAACACTTGTTTGAATATGGTTAAAAAGTATAAAGTTTGGGTATAAAGAGGCCCTATATTAAGATTGCTATATGTTGTACTATATGATTAAATACTTGTTTGAACATAGTTAAAATAATAGATAAAGCTTGGACATAAAGGGGCCCTACCGTAAGAGGGATAAGATATATAAGTAGCATAATACTTTTATAATATATGAAATGTAAAAATATTGAGATGGTGTATTTGAATGAAAAGTTTGGATATTCAAAGGTAATGAATTTTGAGAAAATTATGACTGATAAGAGTGGTTTCAATACTGAGGGGAAATTAAGCTTAAATAAAAATTTTGAAAACAGGACATATAATGACTTAATAAGATGACTTCTATAAATACAATTGAAACATAAGCTGATTAGAAAAGATGTTATATGTTGATGTTATTGTTATATGTACACATACTAGAAAAATGTTTATACCCAACTCTGTATGTATTGAAAATATTAAGAATTATATTTGTTTAATGTAGACAAAAGGAGAATATTACTGAAAGAAGAGAGGATCAATGAAATATATTATCAACTAACATATTGATCAATTATAGAAAATAATTATTATTGTTTTTAAATATATGAACCCAGACAACACATTGTTCACTAAGCACTATTATTGTAAAAAATTAATACAATATATTTTTTAAAAAATAACAGGGGTCCAATGTGGAAGAGTAAAAAGAAGAAAACAGTGGGATATACCTAGTATCCCAGTTATTTATGAAGTTATCTATATAGTTATTTATGGACTGTGAAATGAAGCTAAAACTGACAACTGTGGAATATAGCTAAAAATGAACTAATCACATACACAGAGATGACAAAGCCGAAAATATTGTCAAAAGATGCTTTTGAAAAAATAATAATAAGGAATCAAGTCATTAAGAGCCAAATCATATGCAAAAGAAATGCCATTGTAAACCAGACCAATGGAAGCTATATACAAAGTGCAAGGAAGCCTCAGTCCCATCAACGGTTGCTGAATTTTCCTTATTATCATAGCATGTTCTGGCTGATAGATGGTCTGTTATTTGGACCATCTATATAAAGAATAAAGGAAAAAATAATACCCTTTAAGTGAAATGAGTAAGTGAAATGAGTAATTATATGCAAAATGTGGATACTTTTCTAATACAGCCACTTGAGCATATTTATCTCTTCATCCCCATTTTTACAATAATTTGAGCCTTGGAATGCTTTATCTCTATTAAACTCTAGAAGACTCTGCCTTTCTTCACATTTTTGTTTACTGGCAGGAAAGTGATGCATTAGCTCATGCTTACCTTTAATTTTTGCCTTCCCCAGATAATTATTCAACAGAACAAGGACATCAAGATATGCTGCTCTAGTCACCAGACAAGGATTTTGCCTAGAAACAAAGTCAATAGCAAAATTTAAATGACTTACACTTTAACATTTTATTTTTCTTCTTCTTGCTTTGTTCTGTCCTGTCTGGCCTCAATCCTTAATGCAGAAACAAGTATATGTGAGTTGGCAAGGATTATTATTTATATGCTACTATGTTTCTGGTTTTATTTTTATTACAAAATTAAGAAATATATATCTAAACACCTAAGATAAACAAAAACCTCTGCTTAAAACACAGTGCTCTCCAACAACTGCCCTGTAACATTCCTTTGTTGTTCTTATTTATCATTACCATGTAAGGTTACCACGTAAATGGAGTGAAGTACCAGACATAAATATATGTCAGGACTAGATCACAGTTGTGTTCAGAAGATCCAGTTTTGGTATCCTTGTGGAGCTGTGTGAATAATTTGAAGTCATCAAGTATTTGGTTCAGTATGGCTATATCAGGAGTCTTCAAACTTGGCCCTTTTATGACGCTGGCTGAGGAATTCTGGGAGTTGAAGTCCACAAGCCATAAAAGGGCCAAGTTTGAAGACCCCTGGGCTACATTGAACTAAGTCAATGGGGAAGCCAGATTCACCTAACAAATGAATTACTAATACAGTGATTCTCTTAACATCTGTGGGAAGAAAAGTCATAAAATGGGACAAACCTCACTTAACAACTGTCTTGCTGAGCAACAGAAATTTTGGCTCAATTGTGGTTGGAAGTGAAGGACTATCTTTCTTTACTTCATATTTATAATTGAAGACAACCACCACCAGCCCCAAAAATCAAAAGAGAGTAATAATCCATATAATGCAAGTAAATTAAACAATATAACAAAAGGAGACTGGATAAATTGCTCTAGTACAGTTGAATTATCCTTTTGATCTTTGAAGTCCAAAATTTCTAATGACAAGAGGAATGGAGCAGAATGAGGACAACCTGAATAAAAATGAAGAATTTAAATTTCTGGCCATCCAGTGCATCAGTAAATAATAATAATAATAATAATAATAATAATGATGATGATGATGATGATGATGATGATGATGATGATGATGATGATGATGATGATGATGATGATGATGATGTTGGAAGAGACCTTGGAGGTCATCTAGTCCAACTCCCTGCTCAGGCAGGAAACCCTATACCATTTCAGACAAATGGCTGTCCAGTCTCTTCTTAAAAACTTCCAGTGTTGGAGCATTCACCGCTTCTGGAGGTAGGTTGTTCCACTGGTTAATTGTTCTAACTGTCAGGAAGTTTCTCCTTAGTTCTAGGTTGCTTCTCCCCTTGATTAGTTTCCATCCGTTATATATTAATTATTATAAAGACAGCAATGGGCAACTGGCTCAACAATGGACTCAAAGCAAACACAAAATCACTCCAAATATAGGATACATTGTTATTAAATCTTCTCCCCTGTTAAAGTGATAACATTTTCATACTGATGAAAACCTTATCGGCCTATATCATTTATACAACCACACTGCCTCAATCTGATGTCCTATATTTATATATATTTGAATATTACTTTGAACTTCTTACTTTTAATGAAATATGATAGGACTAGTTTACAAATAAATTTTAATTATTAATGAAAAATTGATTGTAAGTAATATATATTTTTGTAATGATTTTTGAAAAACTAGCTATCAGCTGTTGTTCATTTTTTATTGTCTTAAGTATATAAGGAAATGTTGATTTAGTTCTTGGAAATATATAGAGTCTGACTAATGTTTATATACTGATTTTAAATTTATGAAGCAAATTTTCTCTTGGAAGGATTTAGGCTTCAAATACCTTGGGATTAAAGACATATATATTTTGTCTACACAGCTGGTATTACTGCAAGTTTTATTCCTCAGAGAAAGTGGTCTCTGTTATTGATAAAAATATACACTTTTTTTTTTTTTTTTTAAAGCTCTTTCCAGAGAAAAATATATGTGGACTAAAAATAGGTGCCAGATTTGAAAAAGATTGAAATGAGCTGCTCTAATTCACTGTGTTGAACTAAAGCATCACAGATTTATATTCTAAGTGATAGTTTGCCTCTTATTAAAATAAAAGCCAAATCTCAACCCCAGTGTAATTCCACATAATTGGCAATATAGAATTACTCATTTATCAGAACTTTTAGTTGTCTCACCAAAAGGCTACAGGCTTCCTGGTATAATATCCAGTAGAGGCAACCACT